GACAAATCTGCGGCAACTGTGTGATGCCATCATGTCAATATGGACCAAACTCCCTGAGGAATGCTTCCAGCACCTTGTTGAATCTCTGCCACCAAGAATTGAGGCAGTTCTGAAGGCAAAAGGGGGTCCAACCCGTTACTAGCATGGGGTACCTAATAAAGTGGCCGGTGAGTGTAGATGTATATAACTCTTTCAATTAGCTTCTTTATTTGTTTGCCTTTGTAATATTTACCTTATTTATTTTTTGTCCTTTATAATCTTCAACTTTATTTTTTAATTACTTATATTTTTAAGTATTTATTATCTTCCTTTGTATTTTTTTACCCTAGTTATTTATTTGCCGCTATTTATTTCTGCCTGCCCTTTTTACATTTCTGTCTGCATTTCTGCCTCATTATGCAAATGAGGAGGGGGCGTGTCCTACAGAGTGACACACTTGAAGATGGATGAACGATGGACTGAGTTATTCTGCAGAAATAGTTCAGCTTCCATAGTACTCTTGCCATTCTTGTTTAATGGTAAACAACCAGGTGCTTTACTGCCCCCACCTGGTCAGGAATGTAACATCTTTATCAGGTTCTAGATAACACTTAAAAATTGTGACTCTTACTTCTAAATTTATAAATTGTACTTGTTACTTCCAAACTTGTATTCTCACAGATGAAACATCTAATGTCACATGTATGCATAAGGTGAAAACAAATGAAGCATTTAATTTAATTACGTAATACGTATATTGACTTCCATTTACAAATTTAGACATGTATGTTTTAATGGCATTTATTTAATTCCCATAAACCTTAAGTTTGCGTCGGACATCTGATGGATGCATGAAGAGAACATGCAAACAAACTGTGGGCCAGGAATCAAACCCAGAACCTTCTTGCCGTGAGGCAATAGTGCAACCCACTGCACTATTGCCTCACAGCAATAGTGCATAGTGAAGTAGTGAAGTTTAACAATGGATATATCAATATTGCTAATGCTAAGTTCAGCTCAGGTTTATTGGATATACATAAAGAATATATGGCAGATATTTCAAACTTATAAACCTAATTTTCCAAAGCTGCACCATTCTTAACAAGCTGTTCAGTTAACTTGTAGTTAAAGGCCCATTAAAAGTTTTATGTGCTTCCTTTATTTGTACTTGAATATTGGGGAGATATTAACTATGATACACCATTTTTAGACAGCAGCTAAAATGTTATGCAAAGCTGTAGTTATTTATCTAAATAGAAACACACCTATGGGTTGGAAGAAAGTGTTTTTTTTGTGTTTCCTTTCTCTCAGGGACACTTACGATCGCCAAATTCTCCGTTGGAGATGTTGAAGGCCTGCATTCTGTGCTGTGAGAAATCCAGGTACAGCCCCTGTCCCATGTAGAGAGTTTCCTTCTTGCTGGAGTAGCAGTATCCGATCCTTGCAGCGAACAGATTCAGCGAACTGTTTTTGGCAACGTAATGACTGGGTCCTGACAATAAAGTGAGACAAGGTAATGCTCAGGAGCTGCACAGAGACATTATTTCTCAGAAAAGTGGTGATGAGATCAGACGACTTTTTTTTTTTTTTAGCAATTTTGCTGTACTGCATTACAAAGAAAAGAACAGATAACAGAGTTGAGCTCAAATTAGTGGGAGAGCCACACAAACAAGGAAGAAAACCACAACAAGTCTAATAGGCATGAACAAGGGCTTTAAACTCACCTGTCTTTGAGAAGGGGTAGGTCAGACTGAGAGAAACAGACTCAGCATAGGCGGTGTCTTCAGTATCAATCTATGAAAACGAAAAGAAAAAGCAAGAAAACTTGTAATTCATTGGAATAAAAAAAATCATAAAAAAGGTTATCAGAATATGAAGAAACACTGGGGACAGGGATGATAGATGTGCACTTCAGTCTTCATGCAACAAATCTAGTTCTAGATTTATCAGGAAAAAAATACAGAGAAAAGCAAATAAAATCCCTCAAAAATGGATCATATCTTTGACCTTTACATAAATCTGCATCAGCAAACCTGATAAATGTAGATCTCTATCGTTGAGCTCTTAGTTTTCTTTCTGAGATCTTTTTGTTTTCATTTGTTTTTGTTTTTGTCCTCTTATTTCCTGCTTCAGTTTTTAAGCTCTCAAGTCCCCCATGTTCACTGCTGGTTTCTTCCACTACACTGTGTGGTTAAAAAAAATCACTCTAGTGCAGGAAAAATTGTGCTTTGATAGATTGCAAGAAGTTGAAATGGTTGTGGGACAACTGATGGAAAAACAGATTTTGAGAGAGCAGAATAGCAGAAGAGAAACAGGAATCCAGAACAGAACCCCAGAATGCTCACATTTTCATACAAAGAATAAATCTAACAAGTCAAACTGTTAATTGTGCATGAAATGATATTCCAATTTGGTCTCCTGTCCTTTGCCATAAAATAATTAAAACAATGTATTGAAAATGTTTTTCTATTAACCAATCTAATGTTAGATTTCTGATTTAGGACGAATATTTTTTAAACATTTTAAACAATTTTAAAGATAATCTAGTTGCAGATATTTACAGAAATGTTATCCTTTAATGTTTGTGAGTAATTTTATATGCTTGAAGTTAATTTTGTTCATTTCAATATAGCTGTTAAAAGAACTTTTAAAAATAATTTTTGAATTTATGTGCAGAAAATTAACCTTTGTTCAAAACCATTTTACTATAGCTGCCTATGTTCTAATATGCTTTATTCCAACTCTTATTGAATTGCTGAACCATGGAAAGTAACTCAATTTGAAATAATAATGCAGGGACTTGTTAAAGAGATAAGTGCCCAAGATAAAGTGAACTCACTGACATTTAAATACTTTCTTCTGATTATCTACAGGAGATAAAAAAAAAAAGTTGCTTTGGAAAACTAAACATCAGGACCGCTTTCAAAGGCAGTCGTCAAGCAATCACCTCAGCTAGTTCTAGTAACTTCTATTTTACTCTATTTTTCTTTATATATTCTATATTTAAGATGTTCTTACTTAAGTTTAAGAACTTTTAAAACCTTAATATGTATGATGGCGAGGACTCAAACACAGAGCAGGGAGACAAACAGGTTTTGCACAAAGGAGATGGAGCAACAGAAGCTATGTGCAACGGAAGGAACCAGTGAAGTATGATGACAAGCAGGGAGCTTAAATAGGTGGAAAACAGAGGCAGAGCTGGGAAGAATGAGGAAAGTCTGAGCAGCAGAAGGAAATTAATGGAACTAAAATTTAACAGAGCACTAAACAATGAAGGAAAAAATCATCTGATGATTGATTTGGTGACAGAAGCTGCTGTTCTAATCTTTTTTTCCCACAACATACAGACTGTGTCGCCAAGTGATATGCTTCCCAGATAACGCACAATTCTGGAGGTCATTTTGCAATTCTAGTTTCTACAAGAAAAACAAACCCTATCAAGTATTTGGTTTGGCCTCAAAAGGTTAAATGCACTAATTGTGGTGGTCAAGATATACAGAAGGGTGAAGATTACAAGTACACTAACGGATCTTACCGATTTCCTGAGAAGTAGAACCATATTTTTTATGGTGATGGTAAAAAAAAAAAAACAACTATCTACTCATTTGAAAGTCTAGAGTTTGTATATCTATTGTTCGCAAAGTCTAGAGTTCTAAAACAAAAGGGATTAAAAAAAAGCATGTTTGAATGTGACAAGTGATGGAAATAAAACCTTTTGGAAGATTAAGGTGATGAAACCCTGTGAGAACGAAAGCGTCAGGTTGGCTTTGGTTTCCAAGCATTCGCCACTTGGCTTAGTCTGCGATGGTTGAACAATGAAGGTTCCATTGGCCTGAGAAGGAGAAAAATGTAAAATGTAAGCTTCTCTTTATTACATTTGATGACTGGAAATATTTACCAAGACCTTTCAGCAATCTTTGGTTTGGAGGTGGGTGGCTGATGGAGCTTACCTTTGGTGTTTCCAGCCTGATTTGGAGCTCCATCTGAGCCATCAGGCAGACCTTCTTGTTGACCAACAGATTATAGTTTCCTATAGTCAAATTGGCAGCTGGAGTAGGTTGAGGTGCTGGAGTTGTTGTTGGTGTAGTTGGGGTTGCCATTGTTGTTTTGTATTGTTTTGTGTCGTCAGCCAACGTCCGTGCTTTAACAAACAGAAACAAAAATCAATCTAAATACTTGTTTCTCCACCACTTAAAGCTGATTTCATGTTTCTGAACATCTGTGAATTGTTGAAACACGTCTCTTCAGGGACAAATGCACAATAAAATGTGGTCATGCATCGCTGATGCACACATCGTTATAGATTTCTAATGACCTTGGTTGTGTCTGTTTGTCTAATCTTTGTTGTACAGGTGCTCTCCCAGGCTACATTCTTTAACAGCGTCATCCTGAACGCAGACAATGAAGGTAAACAACCTTTATTTTGGACTGTAAAACTACAAAAGTTGGACCACAACATTAAAAGAAGAAGAAACTCTGCGTGTTTTAGTTTTATTTATCTTAACGTCAAGATTTAATTCTAGATATGGAGTGAACTGTGCGTCAGATTTCTGACTTATGGCACAGCTTAGTTAGGATCATCCGTGGTAAATGAAGCCTTCAAAGCTTGATAAGTTTCAACTCTCATTAATGTATCAAATAATGTACTGATAAGCCAATGTGACCTACAAAGGGGGGAACTTTTCACAAAAAGAAGCACCAGAACACTGAATAGTCCACAAGATTTTATTAAACAATTTCAATAAAATATTTCTTTGTTTTAAAACTTGTCTTCAGGCCTACTAATCAGTCCCTGGAAAGAAAGGGGATTATAGGAAACAATTTAAATTAAAATTATTCCAAAAGATAAATGACCAAACATAACATGCAATGTAAAAGGAATCAAATTAATGCATAAAAAAAAGAGAAAAAAAACACACATTAGTAATTTCAATAATAAGCAAAGAAATAAAAGAAAAAAGCAAGCACATCAAAAAGTGGAACAAATTGTCAATTTAATCTGCCTTTCAATGGGGTCAGAGGAGTCTCGCTTAGCCTGTCCAGGCAGCAACAGGTTTTGAGAGCGTCCCAAACATAGTTAAAAAAAAGATAGCCGAGCATCCAAGGTACTGCAGCTCCAAGAAAATCCTAAACCAGAAAACCATTACAAAAACCTGTAGATTCAGGTAAAGTAAGTTAAAATCTAAACAGGTAGCTTACCTAGGAGTGGAAACACAGCCTACCCGGGGAAGAGGACCAGCAGGTGAGGACTAGATGGAAGCCGCAACAACCTCCAGCTGCAGCCACCAACACCAGCAGAGCAATGCTGCAGAAACACACAGCAGGTATAGCACCCAAGCCCAAGCACAATCCCAGCCACAGATGGCACAATTGGTACTTACGATATTAGATGAGCGGATCAAGCACACCAGCCACTTAGACAGCAGACATGTAGTGGTAACAAAGACACAATGCACCTTGCAGAGGCCTGCTGAGCTATAAAGCCATCTGCCCCGTCCACCAATCAATGGCTTGCTTCTTGCTACACCTGGTGCACAGAGTGGGGAGGGTGGAACACCATCCCACCACACTAACTTTGAATAACCAAATATTAGAATGTTAACACTTTTCTAGAAGATGACTTCAGGTATGTTCCAATAGCTTTACTTAAAGGGATCATAGAATGCAAAACCGAGAAATCACAGAATACAAAAATCATTGTCATAGATCAGGGGCGGGCAATTCCAGTTCCTGAGGGCCGCTATCCTAGGCTTTTAGATTTGTTTTTGGTCAAACACACCTGAATCAAATGCCTGAATTACCACCACTCCTGTCAGTTTTTTCAGTCCTCTTAATCATCAGTTTATTTGATTCAGGTGTTTTTGACAAAGGACACATCTAAACGTTGCAGGATAGCGGCCATCAGGAACCGCTGACTGGACCGAACCAGGAACCAAGCCATCAGCTGCGAGGCTGCCCGCCGAAGTTCCCTGAGCTGTTGGCTTGGTTCGAGTGCCCGGTGTGTTCTGACTACGTGCTGCACTGTAGTCGACCAAAATCCCGGACGATTTTGAAATTACCCTCAGACATTTTCTTTTAGGTCTGAAAAGTAGGACATGTTTGGGAAAAAGAGGACGTCTGGTCCCCCTCCCATATCAACAATCGGATGTTTCAGTGAGTGAGTGCTTGTTGCTATGATGCGTCTTTGCTCAGCAGCTTGGGTCGTTGTCAACCAACCAATCAGAGCACAGCTCATCTAAATATT